CAGCAGCAAGGTGAGTTGGGTAAGATACAAGGAGTTTAAAGATGAAATTGTAGTGTCTCTTCTCGACTTACGACGGTGTTCCGTCCCGACGACCAGGTCGTAATACCTGAAATATTGTTATTAAATATTTTCATCAATGACTTCTTTTGGTATTAAACAATACAATTTGGTGCTAATTTTTCCTCTTACATAAAGTAGCTTTAGTGTATAGGGTGAAACATCTATCATGAAGTGATTGTCATTTGAACTGTACGGAGTCTGAATTTGTAAAAGAAACAAAACTAATGTTTTTGATCTACTCATAATCAATTTGGTAAAATGAATGTTTAGGTTATCCACCTACTTGGCATTTGAAAAAACATAATTTCAATGTCACCAAACGTAACCTAACCCAATTTAACTAATCTAACGTAACCTAACTTAACTGGTAAAAATCGGTCAACTCAAAATCATTCAATTCGCTGGATGGCCAAAAAGATAATAATACCACCAATTCCATTTACTTTAGAAGGACTTATTCATTTTCGTTGAAATCATGGACATACAAAGCCAATATATCTACATTTGATTCCACCACTGTCAATGGCAAAGTTAATTAATATCACCATTCCAACTGTTGGCCCAAACAAGTCGTAAAGTAGTAGTTCTTGTAATACATCGAGTCACTAAGGGAATAAAAAAAATAAAACATGAATTTAGGTCACTGAATTTATCTTATTAGTAGCAAATTGTGGTTAAACTGATACACAAATGAAACATGCCTGGAAAGTACCTAGCACTAGTTACCTGGCATATTTGGACTTATTAAAATATGAAATCTAGGCAAATAAGTAATTATACTAAGGAAATAATTATTTTGGTAGTGCTGGACTGTTATTAATTGCGCTCATTACGAAAATTGGGTCGATATTAATTCTGATAAAGGACGTCATTCACCATCCCAGAGGAAGCTGTTCTCACCACTCTTCAAATAGACCATTTACGACTTTTTTTTAGCTTAATTTGATTTCCATACATGTCTACACATAAATTAGTTGTATTAATTATCTTAAAGGCTTACCTTTTATGATGGTTAGGCGAATTTGGAGGATATAAACGGCGATGAGACAAGTAGAGGCTGGCGGCATTTTTCGTATACAAACATGGACCGCTTTTAAAAAGAACAATACAATTCTGCATGTGCTGTTCTATAGGGAGTACATCGTATAAAAAATATTATTCCTTTGCAGATTTATACATTTTATGTGCATCCAAATCAATTTTCTTTCTTTTGGTTCCAAAAATAGTTCCATCGTAGTGATCATCGGGCGGGGGGGGTATGTGTACCACGAAATTTCCTCACGTTCCAATAACGAATCGTACATATTTTTTTTTTATCCAAAAACGCTTCTTGCACAACAAACATGGGGCTACTACAACATGGTATACACCACGGCTGATCTTGCAATTGGCCCCAATAACTACCAGCACTGGATGGATATCTTAAAGGAAGAACTGGATAACTAAGAGGCGTCCTCCTCATTCCAGGAAGGATCACCAAGATCTGACTGAACCAATATTCAATCCCGTATTGCAATAAGTACAATGAAAAACTTATTGTACATATTGTGATTCAATCTAGATCCGATCTTTGGTAATCACAAGAAACACTGGGAAACATGCCAGTTCTAAGACTATGCATGATGTTCGATGGAAAAATGACTTAAAAGAGCATGAAACAATGGCGTAAAGGAATTAAAACCTAACCTAACCTAACAATATCACTAAATTACGGAAGATCATTAAGTTTGGTTTAGTTGGTTAGCATTTGCTGTCATCATTAATGGTTTAGAGTTAATGTTTTTAACCTTCCTGGGGGAATTTTCATGATAAGATAGCGACCCTATCATAGCCCTTTACCTGTATTCTTCAATTAACAGGAACAACCAGAATGTTCTTAGTTAACACCAAAAACTAATAGATATGTGTCCTAATAAAGGCAGGAGTAGTATTACTTACTTTGCCCTGGTGGTAGAGGAAGCCTTGGCATCACCAGTCTTGTCTTGGGCCAGGGACCATCCTGCCTGAAACAACATTCATGAATGAGGCCACAGATCTGCTTTTATTCCTATAATAATATACAACTTCATTTGTATTTAAACCAAAATTATATATAAAATAACATATAACATAAGAGATGGTGGATACTTCCATCCCTCAACAAGGATCAGTACAGCTCCTCGATATAACTTGGCACAGCGAAGTACAAAAAGTTGGTAAATTTTTACTTTAAGACACGAGTCACGTCCGTCCATCACTGATTGTTTCTTTACATATGAATGTTTACCAATGGCCAAACGCTTACAGCAAAAATATAATATAATTTTATCCGGAGAATGTTAGGTTAGCTTGGTTCACCTTATGTTTCTAAGTCCATTATTTATAGTGAAAAAAATATATTTATTTGGAAAAACAAAATAAAAATACTGCAATTCCTACAACCAATTTGCTTGTTCTTGAAGTTAGGGGGAAGTTGTCTTCAATATATAATCAGCTGGATAAAGTTGGTTTACGGACGAAACTCAACACAAAATATAGCTTAATTTTCCTGCAAAGCTTAAACTAAGCGGGAGTCTCCTACAACTTTACTGAAGAAAGTAACAAATCTAACACTAACTTCAAAGTAATACAAGTCAGTCCTTAATGGTGGGTCAGCATGGTTAGGTTAGGATAAGTTATGTTAGATTAGATTAAGATCAAATAGATATTTTTCTATTGTTTGAAATTATTTAGTCTCGTAGTGTCCAACCCGATTGTTAGGAAGTCGTGTTTGTGGTCATATCTGATGAAACCATTAATGACGACAAACGAACCAAACCTAACCTGACCTGACCTACCTAACTAAAATTTATAATACAGCTACTTGGTTAGGTTTCTTTGGGTCCATGCTAAAAATATGCTACGTGTCCTTCTAAACTATTCACAAACTGTTTTTCAATTCCTGTTTATAATATTTTCGCCTCTTACCCCGTCAGTTAACAATGTGAATATAAGGAGGGGGGAGGGTAATTTCAGATGTGAAAAAGTTAATGATTCAAACACTCCCTTCTGCATAATTCCTAAAAAAGATAATATTTGAATCGTATTTAAAACAATTTAACCTATTGTAAAGAAACATCTACAATCCTTTTCTTATGTTTTCGCAACCAGTGGATGGACCGAGACGCCATATTGTAAACACAGGCAAACAAATTTACTTATTTCCCATTTAATTATAACAATATATCTATACACCGCCAACTAAGTCCATGCGAGGTGCTATATGCGGTTTTTGCTGGGTGATTGGTAAGAGTTTTCAGTGAAGGGGAATAAAGTAATGTTATATGGTTTTAGCAGTTGATTGGCTTATGGGTCGAGTCAGGTCCGGTCCACAACAACTACATCCTCGCCCACCACCGTGTAGCCTAGTGTGCTGTACATCCTCTTATCTAACACATTAACCCCCAAACAGATACAACCCGTGTTAACCATCACTTACCTCTTGATATTATAATCTCTTACAATGATCACACTGTAACACTTCTTAACACGACAACAGGTACACTGATATGCTGTTGTAGTTTATGACACTGATTCATAAAACATCTCGAAGCATGTGTCGGATCATGGGACTCAATAAATCTGTCGCTTTACTGTGAGAAGACTTCAGTTCTCTCTCTCTCTCTCTCTCTCTCTCTAGGGGCATATCCAGGGAGGTTTCCCTCAGGACCACTGGCGTCTTCATATAAATGGCCAAATTCTGACCCATACGAAACGGCTGGTCATGAACCACTGAAACAACACTTTCGAACTCTGTCGTCATCGGTGTCTCAAAATATCAGTCAACTGTGAAGAAACTTTGACAATTTGGTTCTTATTTTGCTTAGGTGAGTTTATTAACTCAATAAATGAAAATAAAACATAAACACATAATGAGATAAAACACAATACACAATAACATCATCTTCATAATTTATATCGTTAACAAGTGACAAAAGAAGCCATTTTTCGTCAAATTAACGCTTTCGAAGACGTCCACCAGGCAGGGCTACCAACACAGCTCACCACCAAAACAACAAAACAAACTATACAATATTATCCTTATATTCTTGTGATTCACTTTAATGTTGTACTAATGTGTTATACAGACTGTAGATAAACTCACTAGGAGGAGACGACAAGTTAGATTTATGTCAACAACTTGGTGTTTCAAGTAAACGTGTATTAGAAAGCACGGCATTGATGATATGGTAGTCTTAACAAATTTTTAAAGCCATACAGTACATAACACACACAGGTAGTAGGCAGCTACCAAACAGGGAGGTACTACCGCCTGGGAAGATATTGGAAGCATAATGTGTTGTCTAATGGTAGACCCTGCTGCCATATGGCATCACGAAATTTTTAACCAAGTCCCAGGTTGCTGATCTGACTTTTTGCCTTTTTTACACACAATTGCAGGGTCTCAATTGTTTTTCTTACCATTGACAACACAACATAAATATATTGTTTCTCACTCTTGATCTTTTTTTTTATTTTTTTTTATTTCTTTATGGTTCTTTATTATTATTATTATTATTATTATTATTATTATTATTATTATTATTATTATTATTATTATTGTTATCATTATCATTTTGTTATTTTTATTTATTTTTTTTTATTATTAATTTTACTTATCTGAATTATTATTATTATTATTATTATTATTATTATTAGTATTATTATTATTATTATTATTATTATTATTATCATCATTACATTTTTGCCTCCCAGGCCCTGATGTGGGTCAGTGTCCTGTGCCCGGGTGGGATATCCCATAAAAAAAAATTACTCACCGCTTCTCCCCCTACCCCACCACACCCCGGTCCCTCATCTCAGGTGCTAGGGATTGGGGTGTCTCAGGTTAATATTCCAAATGAAGACTTTAGTCACTATCATTCCTTGGCGTCTGAGGCAAAAACACCTGTTGTGCTTTTCAGGTGCAGGTATTCATGAAGGAAGTATTTGTGTGTTTGAAAGAAGAGGTCGAAGACGTGAAGAAAGCAGACGAGGAAGTGAGAGAACGATAAGTACATCTGAAGGAGACAGAGAGTTAATGGAGCTGAGGGACTTCCTGGGTGAAGAGGAGCCCTTTAATGGCATCGCCCCTAGCTTCACAGACACCAGCGTGAAAGGAGAAGGCGTGGGCGTGAAGGAAGCGGGTATGGGTGTGAGGGAGGCAAGGAGCAAGGTAATGGAGTTGCGGGACTATCTAGATGGAGGGGAGAAGACGAAGAAGGCCGCCCCTATGACAGCCCAACACAGTGTTCCGGGAAGACGGCTAGCAGACGTCTCTATCGCAGGTGAGTGACGTACTGGAGCCTACTGACCTACCTGGAGCTTACTGACCTAAGTGTAGCCTACTGATTTACCTGGGGTCACCTGTTACCTATTAGTGGGTATGCAACTAGAGAGACTGATTAGTTAAGACGTCATGATTCAAGATAAGACCTAACAACCAAAGCTCCCCAAACATAACCAGTCTCTCCAAAAGTTAACCGAAGCTCACCTAGATTCATGTAACCTCACCAGACCTACAGCATTTAAGTCAAGTTTGATTAGTTTACGTAGAGTCTGCTGCGTCATCCCTGAATTATTGTCAGAAAGTCATGTCAACGATCCAACCATTCAGAACCTGGCTGAAGGGCGCTCTCTAGCCGAGTGTGGTGTTGGTGTTTGACCGCTGGATAAACAAGGTGAAGGGGACCCAAAGATCCGTCTGTTGGTGTATCTGAGTTGTAACTTAGTCGAGGATCAGGTCACCGAGTTGAACATCACTGGAGATGTACTTGTACGTGTCTAGAGTCGCCATGTACAGATTATGTGTGTGTGTGTGTGTGTCGGTGTTTACGTATGGTATATGTGTGTTTCAGGTATGTCTCGTGTGTGTGGAGCGGGGTGTCCTCGCTGGCAGAGGTGGGCGTGGTCGCTGGTACTGCTCACCTGTACGGCCCTCATGTCGGCTCAGGTGTGGGACCGTCTCACCTACTACCTGTCTACACCTGTTACCGTCAACGTGCGAGTCACCAGAAACCAGACACTTAGGGTTAGTACTGCGCCACTACCAAGTCCACCCCGTGTTGACATTTATTACTACCACCACCACTACTACTGCTACTACTACTACCACTATTAATATCATCCTTACAATACTACCACCACCACTACTACCACCATTACTACTATCACTATTGCTATAATCCTTATAATACTACCACTACTACTACCATTACCACTACTACTACTATCACTACCACTACCACTACTACTATCACTCCTACTATCATCTTTACAATACTACCACCACCACAGTACAGGTTCCCCATTATATGTCTTAAACTTATCCACAACACACAGACGAGAACTACAATCACTATCCCAAGGAACAAGTTCTAGTTTTAGCCGTAAAAATAAACACAACCAAACACTGATGTTCTTTCCTCCCACACACACACACACAGTTCCCCATCGTCTCCTTCTGTAACAAGAACCAGTTCAACATGACAGCGGTAAAGGAGCTTCAGGAACAGCGTGCCGCCCTCCTAGGAGAGACCAATGCATCCGTGATCTCTTCGTGGGACATCTCTCAACTGGTGGGCACAAACGGCATGGACGCCAGCCAACTGTGGGTCTATATCAAGCACAAACTCGAGCTGATGGTGGAAGAGGTGGGTATAGTATGTGTGTGGTCCCGTCTGTGTGGGGAAGTCTTCTTCGATAGGTATCCTTGAGGAAGTCTCTCTAAGGTGGTATAGCCAGAATCATTTCTAATCAGGTCTCGTTAAGGAGTCCCAGAGGCCATACCTACAGAAACCTACCTAAAGAGATGTCCTTAAAAAATACTTTCCTAAAAAGACGATGTTCTTAAAGACGTTTCCTAACCTAACCTAACGTCCCTAAAGACATCTACTGAGAAAGATATTGGCCAAGTAGTGTCCCTGGTGAGGCTATATACTGGTAATATTCTTAAAGACGGTAACACGTGTCTTCCATAGCATGATTAACTGCAGGTCTCTCTCCTCCACCCCGAGTAGTGTTGGTTCACGCGAGGCGGCAGGTGTGAGGAGGTGGGCGCTTGGTCAACTGTCCACACAGTCCTTGGCATCTGTTACCAGTACAGAGTCCGTGAGTAACCTACTTATCCACACCATCCGACTATCCTCAACACCTGTTATAATCCACATTATACTACTCCATCAACAAAGCTATCTAAACACATCAGTTACCCACAGTTCACCAACCCTCCCATCCACTATATCTGAAATACCCACAATATTATCCAAATGCAATAATTATCCACAGTAAGCTTCCACACTCATCCACACTATCCGACTTCTATCCCAGACACCTAAGCTGACAGTATCTGAAATACCTGAACCTACATACACAGTACAGTATAAAACATTCTGTTCCATTCTTATTAACAACTTGCACGTGTGAATTATATGAGTTATAATTAGCATAAGGTTTAAATTAACTTGGCCCTTATTATTATTATTAATAATATTATTATTATTAAGTTTTCATCCTTATTACCATCATCGTCATTATCATCTTCATTATTCGTCTCATTATCAGTCACATTATCACCACTATTATAGCTTTACATTTTATGAATACTAATGCATGTTGCAAGACAAGCCAGTAGGAACCTCTGGGATCTTCAACAACATGTACTTACGGCTGAAGGACACAGAACAGGAGGCGTATAACGATGATCGAGGCTTCAAGATCCTTATCCATGACCCCCGAGATGACCCTGTTATTGACCTAAGGACCCACGGCACTACACTGGAGGAGGGATGGGGCAAAGACGTCAGAGTGGCTGTTAGGGAGGTGAGGCCAAGTTCAGTGTTCATCGGGGGTTTCAGTCTTAATGGGTCCCAACCTAACCTAACCTAACCTAACCTAACCTAAGGAAATTTATCCCTACCTAACCTAACCTAATCTAACTGAACCTTACCTAACTTAACCTAATCTAATTCAAATTATCCTAACACAACTAATTAGAGCTTAGTCTTGTTGAGCCCTAACTGTAATAGCCAAAATAGGTTAGGTTAGATCAGGTTACGATGAGTTAGGTTAGGTTAGGTTATGTAATTTAGGTTAGGTTAGGTTAGAGTTTAGGTAAATAACCTTAAGATGAAAGAAGTTGAGGGGAGGGGGCTATAATTCATGTGATCCTCAAAGCTTCATAATATAACTGAGATATGCTTATCCCTATGGTACACGGCGCGTCTGGAGTCAGTTCAAGACGATACCAACTCAACGCTGGCCGTGTATCCGTAACACCAGCTACTCCTCCTCCCAGTGCATCTCCCAGTGCTTCATCCAGGCCCTCTACAACCACACCAGCTGCCTCATGCCCTATATGCACGGTGAGTCTCTCTGGAAGTCTGTCTAGCTGTAGGTCTATCTCTGTCTGTCTTTCAATTTCAATTTCAATTGTTTATTCCTTGATAGAGGAAGCGGGATCCTAGTGCTGTCACTAGGTACCCCTGTACAATGACACCAGAATCATCTGGCAAGTGTGAAAAGTATATACAGTATAAATATTATAAAGGGGCTTACTAAAGCCTAAGGAAGGAAGGATGTTCCTTTAACACATAATTAATATTATTTACAAAATATCTGGCCAGTATTGGGAGGATCATCGTGTCTCCGTCAGGGGGTCGTGGAGTGGTGGTCCAGCAGGCGTCACGGAAGCGTTGTGTGTGGGGACATCTTAGGAGGTAGTGGATAAGGGTGCGGCTGTCGGGTCTTCTGCATAACGCACAAGAGCGTTGCTCAGGGGATGTGGGGATACCAATCTCCCAAGCAAAGTCATACCCGATGATGATACGGGCAGCAATCACGTCCCCCTTCCGCGACCCTTTCCCGTAGACGTACGAGAAGTCAGGAAGTTTACGGAGGACATCGTACCATGTGGGCGGGGAGTCCAGGGGGATGGCTGCTTCCCGAGCTTCTCTCTGTTTGCGGCGGATTTGGGTCCTAATCTGTAAGAGTGTTCGAGGAACAACGTAGTCAGGTGTGGCCTTGTTGCAGCCAGTCTTGGCAAGGTCATCTGCTGCCTCATTCCCCAAGATACCGACATGACTAGGTATCCATAGGAATGTCACAGGACGGCCTTCATCCTGAAGTGTGGATGTTAACCCTCGTATTCGGAGGATGAGGTCCTTATTTTCCCCAGATCCAAATGCGATCCCGTCGAGAGCAGACCTGGAATCGCAGCAGACAAGCAAGGGGCAGAAACCATCTGCTTCTTCCTCAGCGAGAAGGGCAGCAAGGAGGGCTATTAGTTCAGCCTGAGTGGAGGATGCCCCGTCAGAAACTCTGAGAGACAGTTTGATAGGCTCAGGGGCATGAGGACGGGAGATGTAGACACCAGCCCCGGCCCTACCTGTAGCGGGGTCAACAGAACCATCAGTGTAGAGGACGACCCTACCTGGGGACCAGTGAGCGATCCTGGAGAGGTGGTATTTGCAGAGAATAACAGGGTTCACCTGGGATTTCGGGAGCGGTCCACCGAGGGCAATCACTTCAGGTTGAAAATCCAGCCAGGGAGAAGGAGACGAACCAACAGCAGGGGTGACAACAATATCAGGCAGGAGGTCGTGTTCCTGAAGGGCTCGGATGAGTGACCCTCGCCACTGTCTTCTAGATGGAGGTCGGTCTCGGACAGCAGTAGTCAAGTTGGTTTGGACATAGTTGCCCCTAGGATCCCGTAGAATGGAAACGGCAGTTTTTAGGTAAAACTCCTGGACACGATCCTGTAAGGGGGAAAGACCAAGTTCGTTATATAGAGAAGTAGAGCGTGTCCACTGAGGAGCCCCAAGGATGATACGAGCAGCTTTCCTCTGGATAACTTCGAGACGGTTGACAGCAGTCCGACTAATGTTGACGAGGGCAGGGGCGGCGTAGTCGACACAGGAACGGACAAAAGACTTGTACATGGTGAGAAGTACAGGGATGCTGGCACCAAGGGAACCCCTGCACATGGTAGAGAGGGGAGCGAGACGCCGAAAACATATGTCTCGAAGATAGCGGACTTCAGGGATCTGACAACGTGTGCGAGTTACATACACACCCAGGTATTTTGTCTCATTAACCCAGTCCAAGGGCGTTCCTGATAAGAAAAGGGGTGGAGGTACAACACGACCGTGCCACATGGCTTTTGTTTTCGCAGTTGAAAGAAGGAAACCAAGTGAATCACACTCTCTGGAGACCAGATCAAGGGCTTCCTGCATGCTGAGGTAGTCAGGGGCTTGGAGGAGGACATCGTCGGCATATCCTGAGTGGACAACTTCTGTCGGCCACGGGAGTGATGCAATGGAGTGCATGAGAGTGTTAAACAAGGTGGGACTCAGGACTCCACCTTGAGGGGTGCCGAGGTTCATTTCTTGAACAGGAGACATAGAGCCTTCTACGCGAACCCGGGCCTGACGTCCAGTGAGGTAAGAGGCGATCCATTGTAGAAGTCTCCCTTTAACCCCTAACCGTGCAAGTTCAGCTAAAATGAGGGCAGGCTGAGCCGTATCAAAGGCTCCCTTGATATCAAGGAAGACGGAGACGCGGGCAGTCTGATTGCAATAAAAGGAAGCAATGGAGTGTGCTGTGCTGCGATGTTGAATGAAACCATTGAGGGAGTTGTGGAAGCCGCCTATGGTGTGAAGAAGGCGACGATGGAGTATCCTCTCCATCATCTTGCAAACACAGGAGGTAAGACTAATGGGTCGATATTTCCCAGGATCTCCCGGCTTAGGGATGGGGATAATAGTGGCATTTTTCCAGTTGGACGGGAGAACCCCATGTTCATAAGACATATTGTAGAGAGCAAGCAAGGGGCCGTTAAGAATATTAGTACAGGCGTTGAGGACGGAGTAGGTTATCTGATCATCCCCAGGAGAGGTGTCTTTTCTAGAGCGACGAGCACTGTCAAGCTCGAACTGTGTGATGGGATGATCAGTGGGGGCAGGGGAGGTAAGAGCAGCACGAACAACAGGCTCAGACGCATCGATGCGGGCCTGCACTGCCTCCTGCATTGGATCTGGAAGTGCCTCTGGGGAGGAAGCTCGTGCCCAGTCCTCCATTAAAGAGCAGGCAAGGGAGGCGGGATCAGGGTGGGGAGGAGGCCTCCGTCGAGTACCCCGTATAGCATTAATCCGATTCCATACATAAGAGGGTGACGACTGGAACGATAGAGACCCCGTGAAGGATAGCCAGTCCGCCTCACGTATCCGACGGCGCTCCTGAGTTGCAAAGGAGCACCAATTTTTGAAAGTCTTCCCAGTCCTCTGGAGACCGAGACCTCCGTATGGCAGAGTGGAGATCACGGGTTACCTGCCGGAGATGTCTCATGGCAGGGATACGATACCAGTAGTTGGTGGCACTTCTGGGGTGACGGGGAGGGCGTGGAGGGGTAGCGCGATTGACAGAGTCATACACGGCATCAACAAAATCAGCGCTGTAAGAGTCAAGGGACTGAGGGACAACATAGGAATCCGCCCAGGTAGAAAGGTATTGGGTAAAGGAAGGAACAGCATCTTGTGTGAGACGAAGGCGAGGGGATCGATAAGGAGTTGATGTCGGGGCAGAGAAGGAGAGCCTGAGATGGGTAGTAACGGCAAGATGGTCACTATACAGAGCAGGCTCGGTGCAGACGGTAGGATGAAAGGAAGTATGACCGTTCAATAGTAAGCCAACATCAAGGAAACTATGGGGGAGGCGAGTAGGATCGTCAGGACAAAGAAAGCGAACATCATCATCCCCATTAAGAAACTGTGAGAGATGTGATCCATTAAGGGTACATGGAGTGGGATGATCCGGAGTAAGAGTGGGATGGCGGGCATTAAAGTCGCCAAGAACAATAGTGGGAACCCCATCATGGAGGTCGTGAAGAACCTGGGGGTCCAGAGAATCACTCTTGAAATGAACATTGACTACACGAAGGGTCCGGTCACCAAGAGTAAGGGAGACAGAAAGTAATTCAGACGGGGGTCCATGTGAGTCAGGTGAAGGGAGACGAACAGATGGAATGGTGTTACGCACAAGGGTGAGGAGGCCACGAGCCTGCCCACGGTACCGAGGCAGGGTGTAAACAGAATAGCCAGAGAGGCGGAGTGGAGTAACATCGTCTGTGATGGTTTCCTGAAGTAGAGCAACATCTACTTGATGGGAGAGCACAAACTGGGCGAGGTCTGTCCGGCGAGGTCTAAGTCCCTGGATGTTCCATTGTAAGAAGAGGAGGGAACGGCCTCCGGTGTGAGATGAGTCGGAGGGGCTAGACAGGGCTCCAGAGGAGGTACCAAATTCTGTTGAGAGAAATGGAGAGGGAGGAGTGGGAGAGCGAGGGATGGATCCTCCATCTCGGGAGATGGAAGGAGGCGGGTCATCAGGGCTTGCAAAGCGCGCCCCTGTTGGGTCAGGGTGTCCAGAATGAGTTGTTGTTGCTTCTGCAATGTCGCAATTGTTTTCACAAACAAGTCGAGTTGGGTTGAGAGAAGGTTGATTTGCTTGGAGTGGCGATCCAGACGGAGAGTGATTGTTTCCATAGAACCAACTTGGTGTACCTGTGCATGAGCTGGAGGTGGCGGCGAGGATTGCCGAGGGCCCGACTGGGCATGTGGTGGTGGTAGCGACGGAGAGGGACGGTGAGGGTTCAGTTGAGTAAGAGGTGGTGGTGCTGGTGAGAGACAGCGGGGGTCCGGGTGGGCAGGAGATGGTGGTGACTGTGTGGCAGGGCCGGCAACGACCTTGTTCCAAGAACGGTAGGGAGAGGGAGGGAGGGGAGAAAGGATGGGTGGTAGGGGTGATGGAGGGGGTGGTAGAGGAGAGGAGATCAATGGGAAATCCTTGGTGGATGGAAGAGGCGGTGGTGGATAGGATTGAGGTTTGGTTGACAGGGGCTTCGTCAGAGACGAGGGCGGTGGTACAAGGTAAGTTTTCCCCGGGCGAGTGCCAGGACGCTGTGGGCAATTGGCATTCCAGGCGTGGTGACTGCCATGGCAATTGACGCACCGTGGAATAACTGGGATTTTGTTCTGAATTTTCGATTTGCATTCCACTGTGTCGTGAGGACCTGCACAGAAACCGCAGGCGACCATCCTCGTGCACTCCCAGGTGCGGTGTTTCCACGATTGGCAACGACCACAGATTTTCGGGGTTCCGATAAATCGGTCGAGAGGACAGTTGTGAATTGGTCCTACATTCACCTTCGGGGGGAGGGGGCCCACCCACCAGCCGATGAGTTCGTTGGATGGATGTTTGGAGACCGGGTTGATGCGGCGCTCCATGTCCAGTAGTTGTGGGAGAAGAGGGCGAAGATCGTCGATAGGGATCTCCCAGGGTACGTGGCGAACCATTACCTTGGTACGACGAGTTTCTGGGGTGATGATGGTGAACTTCAGCATCACCTCCCCCTGGGGAGCAGGAAAGCCCACCTGAGTGAGCAGGCGTACCGTCTCGTCCATTTGTGTGGTGACTATCACGGCTGTGGGACCTCGGCGGAGGCGAAGTGTTGAGTCCTGAAGTGGAGAGCAGTGACGGAAGAACCAGGTCGTCCGTGTGCTCAGAGGCAAGTCCCGAGGGAAGGCGAGACGACGAAGGCGCGACGGGGCAGGGAGACAAAGGGAATCCCCTATGTCCATCGTCGGCGGAGGGTCGGTCATTGAGCCACATGTAGGCTCACTTGGGGACCCCGATGACAGGAGTCCACCCTCTACAGCCCCAGAAGGGGTGCAAGGGGGAGCCGTGGCCCCTGCTGGAGACCCTGACTTCTGAGGTTTCTGCTTCTTCTTTGACGTGTCTTCAAGAAGAAAGTCGTCAGCATCACTGTCACCTACTGCCGCCGTTTCCAACGAACGGGAGCGTTTAACGGCGGGCATAGGACACGTTGGCAACACTGCAGTCAGGTGGAGTGGTAATGACGTCACACTATCACACTGCGCATGCGCAAACTTGAAAACTTTGCTCAGAGGGATCGGGTGGTAGGACCAGATGTTTTATCCCCAAAAAATGACAAAGTCCAAAAGTAACAAAAAAATATATGCCACTGTGCTGATAACTGGGTCTTACTGTAGTTGTCTACACAGGCTGGGATTGGTAGACTCTCTGAATTCGTCAGAAATACGAATTTTAAGGAGCAGTCTCTTACAGCCTTTGTTGACACTACGCACGCATGCGCGTTTCTCCTCTCTGTCTGTTAAGTTTCTCTGACCACAACCACACCAGTCGTCTCATGCCCTATATGCATAGTAAGTCTGTCCACCTGAAAGTCTGTCTGTCTGTCTGTCCTCGGTCACACTCAGTTTTGTTTATAGTACCAATCCCTGCATGCATATACGTCTCAAAGACTTGCCAATCTCTGTCTTCTTTCCCTCAGTCATCTCCCTGTTAAAAATTCCCTCTTCTCTTTTCTTCCTCTACGTGCATCAAGTATCAACACTCCTCCATCCATCCTTCTTTCTCTCCTCCGTGAACCCTCAGGGATCAGCGGTAAGCCTTGCACGACGCCGGACCAATACAAGAACTCGCTGATTGGAGAACAGAAGTTGTTATTCCACGGCGGCTGGACCCATAACCAGTGTGTGTGTCTGAAACAGTGTAATGAAGACATCTACTCCGTGTTTACTGAGGCGGCCATGGCCTTCAACACCTCCGCTAAGCTCAGGGTTTTCTTCCAGGTAATGTAAACTGTTTTAAGTGACTGTGATACTGAACTGTTCCATTAGGGTCAGTGTGGATACAGTGCATTGTATACTAAACCCTTGGTGCACAAGTAGACAATGGGGCCGACATTGTACTCAAACCGCCTTCACTTGCATTGTTTGGTAAAGTTAGGTACCCAGTTATAGCCCGGGATCGAACCACCGACTTTTAGAACAGGATGTGAGAGCTATATCTATTCTATCCATTCCTTCAATACTACTACTACTACTACTACTACTACTACTACTACTACTACTACTATTATTACTACTACTACTACTAATAATAATAAGGATGATTATATGGGATTATCTACAAGTCTACTCTCTTAATCGTCCTCCCGGTTATCTTACAGGACCTGACTTACGATGAGGTGTCGGAGGAGATAGCTTACGACGCCATCGCTCTGCTGTGTGACATTGGCGGGACGCTGGGCCTACTGCTGGGGGCCTCTGTCCTCACCTTCATAGAATTCCTAGAGGTCCTGTGGATGAAGCTCCTGCGACGTTGGCGGGCCTAGGAGAGAGAGAGAGAGAGAGAGAGAGAGAGAGAGAGAGAGAGAGAGAGAGAGTCATAAGTTGGTTTTAAACGCATACGGTGTCAGGCTCCTCATAAAAAGCCTTGTATTTACATGACAACAAAGAAAGGGTACATACGTGTGTGTGTGTGTGTGTGTCTGTCTGTCTGTTTCTGTCTGTACGTATGTGTTACATGAATATTGTCAGGAAATTCGTATTCATTATAATGGATTAGTTCTGTGTATTTGGGTCATGGACGTTCGAGAGATGGAGGAGAAGTTTTGTGTGAAGTGATCTCATTCCATCAGACCAAAACTGGTATACACTCATTAGCCAGAGGTCGTTCAATTCAATCCTCAGTGAACGTATAAGTACCTGTGTGCCACTTTCTTTATTATCCTACAGCTGAGTGTGTGTGGCGCCTATTATTCCCCGCACCACCCAGAGCTTCAGTCCAGTTTGATCTAGGGTCTGGGGTGCTATGGCCGCGTATGGTTCGCTCGGCTGCCGCTCTCTGGGACGTGTAGTGGGTCTTCCTACCTCACTGACTCCGTATTCGCTTGCCAGTTGATCCCAGGAACTCTTGAGGCTACTAGTAGTCCCATCATCTGTCCATTAGTCTAGCTGCTGTACCGTCTATCGCTACTATCCTGTTGTATCTGTGTTTAGTTGCCCACGGGACCCGACCCTACCCTACCCTACTCGACCCTACCCTACCCTACCCTACTCGACCCGACCCTACCCTACCCTACTCGACCCGACCCTACCCTACCCTACTCGACCCTACCCTACCCTACTCGACCCTACCCTACCCTACCCTACTCGACCCTACCCTACCCTACGTTCAATCCCTCATTTCATGGTAGTACAAGGAGCTGAAGTGGGTGCTCGTACCCGTCAAGTGGAACTCCTTGTAGTGTGCCCGACTACAGTGTGTTCTTATTGGCAAGCCAGCTGTTTTGTCATTGGTTCACAATGTCATTATCATTTGTGTTTTTTGCGGTGTGTGTGTGTGTGTGTGCGCGCGCTTTTTTCTGTTTTGTATATATACAGTATATTTATGATTGTGGCTTTTGTTATTAAACTCATTGTTAAAATTCAGTATCACCGCCAATAACGCTCTGTGTTTATATTGGAGAGAATAATAGATGAGTGTAAATAATTGTAAATTATATAATCATGTATGACCGAGTTGAATAATTACGGGCGAATGTTTATGCTTATGTATGAACGACTACCGTGTATCCATATTCTCAATTACCAATATGTATTGAAATTATCAAACAAACAGTGTGTATTTTCCTCAAGAATGATAAAACAGAAACACATCCTAATATTATCTATAAACATCCTTAAAATATACAAGCAAAAAAAAATAAAATCGACTAAAATTCTCACCCGCCCAGTAACACAAAGAAGAGCTGAGCCAAAAATCGATGAAGGTTTAATCAATAATTGTACTACGTAAACCTCACAGTCACACACTATCATTCTTAAACTCTTGTACGACACTATGAAGCCTAGTGCTGTTATGGCTCTGGCGCTTGGTGGAATTTTCATTTACGCGGGAACTATATGCATTAGGTACTGTACTAAGCAATGTACTTATGTAAGCGTCGTGCTGAGAATAACCTGTCACTCATGTAACCCTTATAAAAAAAATCATTGGAACATCTATTCTATTCTCTATATATATTTTATCTTGATATATTTTACACAATAGGTAGAAATGTTAATACAAACTACAATATTTATACCAATCCTCCCAGTTTTCAATTTAATTTGTCCATCCCAGTCTCTGCTTTCCCCTGGCCTTCCTACCCTCAATTTTGCCCTTAATATTTCTGTTATTATTCCCTCATCCCTAATTATATGACTAAAGTATCTCATTTATATTTTTCTGTAAATTTCAAATATTTCTCTTGAAGTTTATGCGAACCTTAGTACTTCTTCATTTGTTTTCATATAAATGTAACCTATTATAAGGAAAATGTATTGCAAAAATTAATTATGTTGCCTCATTAACCTCGAGTGAATAAACAGAATTATTCTTATATATCTGAGATAACTGCCGACCTTAATATAGGAAACATATTCAAATCGCTACAGGTGAGAAAAATAAATAAGAATCCAATGCTAGATCGTCTATGTCTTTCCCAAATACTTAGACAGAGTTTGTAATCTAGAACATCAGCTGGACGTTACCTCATATATAAATGTGTCTAGTTTTCTGGTATAAAATTAATCGGATTGTAATATTTGTGGAAACTTGACTCGAATTTTCCACAGCTAAACTCTTTCTAGCTTCTTGTCTCACCGGGGAAATATTTCATGCTGTCAGGTGTGCGTTGTTATCATAAGCTGGAGAGGTATTAAATAGGTCTGAGGCGGGTGTATAGGCGCATTCCTGATCTCACCTATAACCCGGATCCAGTGTTTCATTATCTACCATTTTATTTCGATATTATTAAATCGTCTAACTATATATCTATCTAATAATAATAACATAAAATTACCTTAACATACAGTACAGTGAGTAGAGAGACAGAGGTTAGTATATACGCTGGCTACATCTTTAGCCAGGACCCGCATTAGCCAGATAGTGGTGTGACTCATGAGATACTAACGGTTGCCAGGTCAATTGAGATCCGAAGCTGAATGTCCTTTTGTTATATAAGTTTTGTCAACATTATTCAGGAGCTTTACATTTATACTTGTCTATGTGATAACTTTCTTTATACAGCTACACTGGAGTGAATGTTGTCATCTCACTTGGACGATTATCTGCGCGTTACTCTTCCACATCGTCCATACATCACAACTTATATTACAAATACTGTGTTTAGTATAGGAATATATTATGAAATAGATTAAGATGAATGAATTATATAGGCTGGATCGGCCTGGACTCGTGTCATGGTACCAGTTTCCTCCAGTACATAACGGTGGACCCAGGAAGGGCAGACTCACCAGAAGACATAATGGAGGAATTAAACAAAACCTTGAGTACAGAGAAAAAGTTACTGAACCTCATCATTAACTCGAACACCCTGGGGTATCGTTAAATATAAGTTGGACGGATATATGAGCGATGGAAGTTGGGTGTAAACGGGGCTGCATTAGCAAGAGGCAAAAATAAAAAAACACTTTAGTTCATCCATAAAAATTTAATTTCTTCATAGAAAATTTGTATTTGTTTCAGCTATGGATAACTATATTATTTGTAGGATTATCAATTAAACATGCAAATTTGTCTGTATTTTTGTCTCACAAGTAAATCTAATAGGATTATCGGCACCTCAATGTATAAAGCCATTAATCTGGGACATAATTAACACAGAATACACGAAACAGGAGAGAGTCTGATAGGGCCTGTGCCATATATTCCAACATACATTTTGAAGAACCGCTGCCGAGCAAAACTTCCTCTTTCGTCCTGACTAACACTCCGTCACCCACCCCACCATAGTGTGCCTCCATCCACTATCACCACCGTCAGATAAGTCTTCCCGTTCACGTTCAAATATCTATAGTGTAAGGCAAAGGGAACGCCTCGATGAATTAATCAGACAACAGCACTTATGTAATCTGATCTCTCAACTATTCTGATCTGTTAATAAAAACATAGTGACGTCTTGCTAACAGTAAAGCGTCAACAGAAAACACATGGGCGACTTTGACCTCAAGATTCAAGACTTTGACCAAGATTCTGACCTTTTGATTGACCTTGACCATAACCACGAAACAATACGATAGGTTGAATGAAATATTAGCTTTATTGTTTAACACACAATAACTTTACACTGTTCAAAACTGTTAATAGTGCTGCATAAGTTAGAGATAATGAAATAGTTCTACTTGTTTTCAGATCATATTTTCCCAGTACATAAATACAGTACATACATACATATGAAGACACATATACAAGTTCACGTATACATATATAGATACAAGTCATAAGAAATCCTGGTTGAGCCCCTGGCCTGTCGAGCGTAGTGTGTAAGTAGGTGCAAGTGTACGAAGACGTGTGACCTTGAGAGCCCACCACACACACACACACACACACACACACAAACCTGCTCCTACACAGAACATCCAAGATACTGTAGTGTGATGTTCTGAGATGGGAGAGAGAAGGAGGGGGGGGGGGCTCCGGTGAGAGTGTGGGGGTGCTTAAAACTAATTCCAAAGGTTTTTTTTTGTAATTTAATCTACAACATCCTTATCAAGTCCACGCGGGTCAAGGATTTCAGACCGTAAATGGTAATGTGTATACCATTGTCGGTGTTTATATTAGTATCATATCTCAAGGGTTTATTTTCAACCTGTTATAAAATGCAAACACTTTAGTCCATACAAAGTCTCCACTGAGTACGATAGTTTGGGACGACTGGTGGTGTTTTCTCTGCCTCGTGGGGACTTGTCACTCCGGTACGGTAAGTAAATAGTGCCAGACGTATGAATATTTTTGTCTCGATTTAAATCACTCCACATGCCAGGGAAGGTAACGCTATGGCCGAATCTAACTAAAAGGAAAAATATAGACGCTTTGTAACATAGACTTTGGTTAAGAAATACCACAAGTTTGATCTATTCATTAACTATATTCCCTTCATGTAAATGCTCGTCCATCACCCTGATCTAATTACAGGTAAAACTTCATTATCTCGTCCCATAGAGCTGCTTGGTATGTATTATACAGTTTAAGTGAGATTGACCCATTGACAGTCTGCGTTTGAGTGGGACAGAGATTATACAGAATGAAACAAAATACCAATGTGTATAAAAAGCAACCGTGGATCATATGACTTGTGAGCAAACGTGAAAGCGAATCAAGGTTAAAAAAAAATACAGTTTCAGGTCTCATTGGGTGGATGGCGAGAACAAACATCTGTGTGGAGGTGTGGAGGTCATGTTTGGTGTGTGGAGGTGTGGAGGTCATGTTTGGTGTGTGGAGGTGTGGAGGTCATGTTTGGTGTGTGGAGGTGTGGAGGTCATGTTTGGTGTGTGGAGGTGTGGAGGTCATGTTTGGTGTGTGGAGGTGTGGAGGTCATGTTTGGTGTGTCACGTATAAAACCTGTGTGTAACTGATTCGTAAAAAAAAAAACCAGCCCAAGAATGTTTTAGAGTGGAGGACTGTGGTCACCAACCCTCAGATAGAAGGATGGTAACTCTGATTGGTTGATTGGTAACTGTTATTTGTTTGTGGTTCACGTGGAAGAAAGATACTCGTATGTAATTTGATATTAATTGTAAATGATCATCGTGTGGTCTCTCTCTCTCTCTCTCTCTCTCTCTCTCTCTCTCTCTCTCTCTCTCTCTTACGTAAGACTAAAAAAAAACTTGTCTCATTAAATTGAACTGAAAATTATCTTGTCTAAAGGTTAATTTTCATCATTTTCTTCCTACGTCACACAAGACCAAACTCACCCACCGACAGCTGCTACACTCTTCAAGGACATAATACAAAGGCATCTTTTAGTGGCTCCAGACAGCACCGGTTTTTATGACTGACCAAAAGAATTTCCTTTTATGGTTGTATGTCTCATCATTCAGATTTTCGGTGGTTGCGTAGTAAATTGTATAGTCTCCGACCTAGCCTAACCTAACCTAACCTAATTTAACCTAACCTAACCTAATGTAACCTAACCAACCCTAACCTAACTTAACCGAACCTAATCTACCCAAACCTAACCTAACCGAACCTAACCTAACCTTTCCTGGCTGATTTACTGATGAATGTATTTTTATTTAGGTATCGAGTCCTTTTCAGTTCCTGTCGGTTACTGTCGGTTCCTGTCGGTGACTTGTCGGGTCTTTGTCGGTTCCCACTTATCGTGACCACCTCCCACCTCCTCCCCAGATCGTGTCCACCCTCACGACAATTACACACTGATCCACAAGGTT